GAACGAGGTTAAATTCGTGTGGAAGCAATGTCCGAAGAAACAAGGTTCAAAGTGGAGAAGTTCAGTGGGACGAATTTCGTTTTCTGTAAGATGCAGGTGGAGGCTTTGTTATATAAAAAAAATTATACTTGCCAGTACAATGAATCACGAAGAGGCCTGAATTTATGCCTATGGAGGAATGAGAAGTACTGGATCAAACGACACCGGGTTTGATCAAGTTAACACTTTCCTCATTTGTCGCGTTCAATTATGTGAATGAGAAAACTATGGTGAATCTCATGGCGATACTGGCCAAGATGTATTAAAAACCTTCTGTTTTCAATAAGATTTTTCTGACGAAGAAGTTGTTCAACATGAAGATGGTGGGAGACAGTTTAGTGACATAACATCTTAATAATTTTAATATTGTGACGAGTCAGTTGTGTTTTGTAAGGATCAAGTTTGATGATGAGGTTAGAGCACTTGTGATACTATCTTCATTGTCGGAAAGTTAGGATGACTCGGTAATAGCGGTGAGTAATTCTTTAGGGATTTCGAAGTTGAACTTTGATGATATCGTGGGCCTGATGTTGAATGAAGAAGTTCGCAGAAAAACATCGAGTGGTGAATCTTTAGTTTCTGCGTTGAATGTTAATAACAGGGGAATGAATCTCAACAATAATACAGACAAAGACATATCCAAGTCCAAGAAAGAAAAGCCCAAGTCAAGTAGAGGAGAATGTTGGAACCGCGTTTCAAGAAGGACTACAAAGCTCCAAGGAAAGCTGGTGGTGGAGGACAAAAAAGTAGTTTTTCTACCATGTCTCCACGAGTGAAATCCAAAGTGACTCTCTGGTGTTATTCCTAGTCAGTACTGAATCGTGGATAGTGGATTCATGTGTCTCTTTTCATACTTTCCCCAATAAAGAGGTATTCAAAAACTACACTCATAGTGATCTAGGGAAGGTTTATTTGAGAGATAATAAGAACTGCAGTATGGTAGGAAAGGGTGATGTTGATATCAAGTTGCCGAATGAAACAGTCTGGAAGCTTACTGAAGTTAGAAATGTTCCAAGTTTGTAGAAAAGTTTTATCTTTATGAGCCAGCTGACAAAGTCAGGACTTGTGACTACTTTTACAAGTGATTCATGGAAGGTGACCAAAAGGGAACTAGTGATGGCTCGGGGCAGCATTGAATGCACCCTTTATCTGATCCATAAGATGGATGATTTCATTTATGTGGCTGGAACAAGAGTGGATGTAGGTCTGTGACACCATAGGCTTGGATATATGAGCGAGAAAGATATGAAGTCGATGCTTTTGAAAAAAAAAGCTTCAGGGTCTGAAATCAATTGATCTGAATTTATGTGAAGTTGCATTTATGGCAAGCATAGGAAGCTTTCTTTCTCCAAGAGCGGGTAATGGTGAAATTAAAGAAACTGGAGTTAGTGCATACTGACGTATGAGGTCCCACTCTAGTTCAGTCCATTAGTTGTTCTTGCTATTTTGTCATGTTTATTGATGATCACATGAGAAAATTTATGAGTTTATTTCTTAAAGTAAAATTTGATGTATTTAAAGTTTAAAAAATGGAAGGCTATGGTAGAAAATGAGAGACTTGAAGTTGAAGTGTCTTAGATCAGATAATAAGGGTGAGTACCGTGATCAGAAGTTCAGGAATTTTTATGCAACAGAGCGCATGAGTTCACTGTCTTGAGGACACCGTAGCAGAATAGTATAATTGAGTGCATGAACAAAATAATCACAGAACGTGCTAGGAGCAAGAGACTGTATGTTGGCTTGTTAAAATAATTTTGAGCTAAAGCAGTAAAAATTGTTGTTTATCTAATCAACTGTAGTTTATCAATATCTTTGGAGGAAGGTTTACCTGAAGAAGCATGGAGTTACAAAAAGGTACGTCTATCTCATTTAAGGGTATTCGGGTGTTCCACATATGTGCATGTTGATGCAGGGTCCAGGAGCAAGCTTGACTCAAAATCTATCAAGTGCACCTTCCTTGGATATGACTTAAAATGAATTTGGCTACAAGTTCTGGTATTATCAGAATCAAAAATTTATCAGAAGCAAGGAAGTCACATTCAACGAAATGGAGAAGTACAAAGACAGGGTTAGAACTCAGGATATTTCGTTAGCTACTTTAGAAGAATCCAAATATGTGGAGATCGATGATGTTAGTGATCAGGAAGATGAAGAAAGTAGTGTTTAATCAGAAGGAACATTGAAAGTTCCTCAGTCACCTGTTACATAAGTCAGAAGATCCAGCAAAGTGACATGACTCGTACACAAATATTCTCATTCTTTGCACTATTTGTTACTAACTGATAGTAGTGAACTAGAGTGCTTTGAAGAGACCACTCAAGTTGAAGATTTAAGGGAGTGAGAGCTTGCCATGGATGAAGAAATGCTAACTTTGAAGTTAAATCAGTTTTGGGATTTGACGATACTATAAAATGACAAAAGAGCAGTACACAATAAGTGGGTCTACAGTCTGAAAAAGGAGTCAGATGGTAGCAAGCGCTATAAGACAAGATTTGTTGTGGATTATACAAAGATCTTCACCTCATTGGTGAAGATGACTGCTGTCAGGGTTGTGCTGAGTCTGATAGCAGTGGAAGATCTACATCTGGAGTAGATGGATATAAAAACAACTTTCTTACATGAAGATTTGGAGGAGGAACTATATATGATACAACCATAAGGTTATAAGGTTTCAAGCAAAGAAGATTTGATCTGCAGATTGAAGAAGAGACTCTATGACTTGAAGCAGACTCTGAGACAGTGGTACAAGAGGTTTGATAAGTCCATGTCAGACATTGGATACATAATGTGCCAGACAAACTACAGTTGCTTCATCAAACACTTCAGCAACTGTTATATTTTGTTTATTTTTTTTGTGGATGATATGCTGATTGCATGGGCAGAAATGGAGAAAATCAGAGACTTAAAGTAACAACTATCAAGAGAGTTCGAGAGGAAGGATTTTGGTCCAACCAAGAAAATCAGTGGGATGAGAATCAGCAAGGACAGCAGTCTGAAGTTGTTTCAGACATATGTTCAACATGAGTGAGGTGAAACCAGTTAGCACTCCCTTAGGTAGTCACTTCAAATTATCTAAGGAGCTTATCTAAGGAGCTATCGGCTATCGCCTAACTCTGAAGAAGAGCAAGCACAAATTGAGAGAACTCCACATGCTTCAGCAGTTTGGAAATTTGATGTATGCAATGATTTGTACCAGGTTAGATATTACATATGCAGTGGTAGTGATCAACAGGTATATGGGCAATCAAGACATGCATCATTGAGAGACGATAAAGTGGATTCTCAGGTATTTAAGGGGAACAATCAGCATGACACTTTGTTATTGAAGTGCAGAGATTAGTCTACATGGTTTTGTAGGTTCAGATTTGACAGGAGATGTGGATAGTAGGAGAAGTAGAACGGGATATATCTTCACATTGAGGAACACAGGTGTGAGTTGAGTTTCCAGGTTGCAGAAGATTGTTGCACTTTCAATTATGGAGGTCGAATATGTTGCTCTCACTGATGCTAGCAAGAAGATGATTTGGCTACATAATTTCTTGGCAAAATTTGGCAAGGAACAGGAAATTGAAAAACTCTACAGTGACAGTATGAGTGCGATTTATCTTGCCAAGAACACTGCTTTTCATGTCAGGATGAAACACACCCAACTCAGATATCATTTCATTCGATCTCTTCTAGAAGATGGTTAGTTATTTCTGGAAAAAATACATACAACTGAGAATTTTGCGGATATGTTAACAAATGTGGTGACTATTGAGAGACTGAAGCTATGCTTGGATTCAGCTGGGTTTCATGAAGTTTAAGACCGGGGGTGAGTCACACTACAGTACATGACTACGATACGTGACTATGAAGTCAATTCAGATGGAGGTGCAGGTATGGAGGGCTGGTGCTCGGTGTTATAGTTTCCAAGTGGGAGATTGTTGGGTTGTGGAGACTAAGGACAAGGCGATGGGCGCCTATGCGCCTGGTTGTGGGCGCTTAAGCACCCACTTGGGTGTTTCTCAAACAGATGAACCGATGCCTATGTGCCAAATTTGGGCGCATATGCGCCTATTTTAAGTTGGGCACGACAGAGGAGGGGGTGCTTAGGCGCCAACTAAAGCGCCTGTTTCTCGAGAGCTTGGTGCATAGGCGCCAAGTCTGGACGTCTATGCGCCAGGAGCGGTTGGTCTTGGAATTTCTGGTTTTAATGCCAATTTCAAGCGACAAAAAGTTATAATTTGCTATTTATTCCTTTGGAATTCTTTGATGAGCATCCTGGTGAAGGTGAGGAATATCAAAGAGGTGTATTTCGGTGATTTGACGTGATTTTTTACTTCGAATCGGAGAGGAAAGATTGTGGAGGGAGTCCTGCAAGTTTTCTTTGTGCGTGAAGAGAAAACTTGTTTGAGTTCTTTGTAAAATCTTCTAATTTTCATAGTGGAAATTTTTGGGTAGCTCCGTGGTTATTTTCTCGTTCTCGGGTTTTTCCATCTAAATTCTCGTGTGTGTTTTCTGGTTGTTTTAATTTTTTATTCTCTTTTTTATCGAATTGGTGCGATCCTGCTATTCTGCGGTGTGGTTTAGTTTCTGATTGATTCTAAGCCCCAGTAAAGTTGGGATTATTCATGATATATATTCCTATCAGAAAATTAATTTCTGCAATTTTAAAAATTAAGGGCTTATTTGGCATCATTAGTTTTAGCTTTGAGAAATAAAGCCGAATATTTGCATTGTTGCTTGATTATTTTGTTATATAAATCCTTCCTATGGTGATCATGAAAAGAAAAACCGCCATAATAATTACTCGATGGTTTCTGCTTTCGTGTGCATTAGATCTTTAATGCAGCTGTTCTACTGACTCTCTGATCAAACATCAATTATGTTTCCATACCCTTTGAAGTCTTCCTAAAATGGCATAGTTTTATTACTTTATATTTGCTTCTGATGTCCCATATTTTTTTAACCTTATGCAGTCTATGATATAAGTATCGCATACAAGCATCGTTCCCCAACATTTTTGGATAATGCCTTTGGTGTAAACCCACTTGAGGTTCATATTCATATTCGACGGTTTTTACCACATGAGATTCCAGAATCTGAAAAAGATGTTGCTTCGTGGTTGATTGAGAGGTTTAGGGTTAAAGACCAACTTCTTGGTGACTTCGCTAGTTTTGGTTATTTCCCTGATGAAGGGACTGAAGGAGAACTCTCAAGCATTTCATGTCTGGTAAAAGTTGCTGCCATGTTATCCTTAACATGTGTATTTTTATACCTTACGTTTTTCTCAGCATTCTGGTTTAAGATATATGTTCTTATCAGCGCTGTTTATCTTTCATATATTACCCACTTTGATATTCAACCAACTCCAATTTTTGGCTGTCTAAAGTCCTTGGTCTGTAGTAAGAAAGACTAGAGAACTTCCAGCTTCTTTTTTAGGTTTTTTTTTCCTCCCGTTCATTCTTACTTTTTGCACTGGATGAAAATGTATGTTTTGCTTTAGTTTTTGTTGATGACATTTTTATAGTTTGTAACTAAGAAAATATGCACAATAAACACAGATTTGCAATTGATTGAAGCTTTGATTGTTGTGGTAATTTTATGTTTTGCATAATTTAGTTGGGTTATAAATGTGAGGTTATTTTTGCAATCCGCCGGATTCCATCATAATAAAATAATCTAATGAGGTATGTTATTAGCATGTCACATGCCATGCACCACTTGGGAGTTTTATATAGCTTGAAACTTGAAAGCTTGTATTTATGGTGTTCTTGAAGCAACTCTTTGTTAGCAAAGAGGAGTCTGTAGAAAGGAAGTTCTTCGTATTGAAAAATTGAGCAGTTGTTTTTCTGTTTCTCTCAAATTTGTGAAAATAGAACAAAAACTATGATAAAATAAAAGGGAAACAGTGGAAAAAACTACCTGCCAAAAATGAAGTGTGGCGACGATAAGAATTGCTCAAGAAAGAATGGCCAGTGCAAGCAGGGAGTAACATGCACCATTTAATTGTATGCAATCAGGTAAAAGGAGTGGTGGTCGTTGAAATTGTAAACAAGCGCACGCACAAGAAAATAGATAAAGCTTCTTACTAATATAATGACATTCCAAATTCTATGATAAGGAAGCCTCAAGGAGAGAAATTGTCCTCCAGGAAAATACTTTAAACTCATCAAATAGAGTAGAAACAAAGAAGAGTAGGACATGAGTTTCATTGCTTGTAGTTCTAAGAATACATGTGACAGTGCTGTAGATGGCCCCTAGCACAAGTATTTACATTGTTCAAGGTCATTCAGGCGCAACACACCTTAGACCAGTGAAGATCTTTTATGCTAATATGGGTGTCACTAATTGGGGAGAAAGCTTCTTTACCGTCTCGAAATAGCCTCAAGAATAAGAGAGAGAATCACGTAAATGCATATTTGTATATAGCAGAGCATTAAGTATTAAAACCCTAAAAATTTCAAAGTCAAGGGTAATATTATCATAGGTGTCCTTGTTGTTGACAAAAATAGCTTGAACAAGATATTATCATTAAGTAACACTTCATTTGATGAAATGCATATTTGTATAGATGAATACATATTAATGCATGATTACATTTATACTATAATTTTTATAGGTTCATTTATTCAAGCTTCTGACATCACTTTTTATTTTTATTTTTTATTTCTGTTCTGATATAAAATAAAAATTATCTTTGGTTTCTTATACAATTTTACGGTTCAGGAGTCCTTGATCTCGTTACCGATGAAGCGGTAAACCGCCATTGCATCGGTGCGATGAACATCGGAGTTGGCAACAACGACAATGACTAGTCAAGGAGAACTATGCTGAGGCTGTTGGTGAAGGAAAAAATTTGCGTACATTTTCGAGGTTATACCGAGGGTATAATCGGGTTATATCCGCGTTATAACCCATTGTAACCTCCATGTAATCTTCTGTAATTTACCTGTAACCTACAAATAAGTTCTTAATATTTGAAAACAGAAGCGAAGAACTTATTTATAGGTTACAAGTAAGTTACACTAGTTTACATGGAGGTTTCACGGGTATAACCCCTTTATACCCTTGGTATAACCTTGAAAACGTACGCAGCGCTGCGTACGTCTTACGTACGCAAATTTTTCGCGTGAGCGAATGACTTGAAAAAAAAAACTCAATTTATTTTTAACAAACTAAAAACAAAAATATTTATTTAATATGTTTTATCCAAAATTTTAAAATTAAAAATAACAAGTGATGTCGAGGAGAGCTGGCTCAAACTCAGCTCGTTTACTAGTGAGCAGCGGAGCCCTTGCAAGCGTGGGAAACAATGGTAGGAGCTCTTTTGAGCTCATTTAATTTTGATAAATCAAAGCTGTGCGATTTCATGAGCCGCTTCTGCTTGGCGGCGAAGCGGCTTGAGAAGAAGCCTTCGAAAGAAGGCTCCTTGGCGGTGCGGAGGAAGAAGGCGTATCCCAGCATGAAGTAGACGGAGGTTGTGAAGAAGCATATGGGCTCCATTACGTCCCACGAAAGCTCCCAGAATGTCAGCCGCATGAAGCCCGCTGTCTGGATGAGCAGGACGCCCAACCCGGCCCATAATTCTCTCTTCACCTGTGCCTCCGCTTTTTTATCAATCGCGGCCTTCACGGCCTCCATATCCTTCAGTTCTTTTGCTTGCACGTCCTCAGCCCCGCCTGGGAGGTTCTGCGGACCGATCATGCTTTCGATTGCCCGAGCAACCTGCGCGCGCGGTGAGCAAGTTATTATAAATATATGGAAAATTTACACATACCGAGTACCATATTAAAACTTTGTCGTGATTAATAATTTGATAAAGTGAGTCGAGGAAAAATCAAGCAGTGCGGAACAAAGAAAGGGGCGTGTTAACGGGTGGCCACCTACCTGTTCAGGGCGAAGGAAGACGACATCTGTGAGCACGATGACGGCGCCGGAATGTTCAAGCGCTCCTGCGATTTCCCGCGCACATTCTTCGGAACCGGCGGCTGCCTCGCGGCAAATCTCGGCGAACTCCGAATAACCCACATAGCTGCATGGAATCCCTCTCAACTTCGCCCTCGCAGCCTCAATCCGCGACGCCATTAGCAGTTTTCTTAAATTCTCTACCGAAATCGCCATTCCGGACCTGTCCCCCTTCTCCTCCTTCACCGGCAGCGGCGGTGGGAATGAGTCAATTTGGGTTCGATCCTGCATCATGGATGTTCGGATTCGCTCGATCAGATTGTCGCCGATAGGGAGAGTATTCCTAATCGATGTTGGCGGCACGGTGGCGCCTGACTGGGAGATGGATCGCTGCTGGAGTACGATCCGGAGTTTTGAGGAGCCGGCGCATGTGCTGCTGGGGAGGAGCTGCCGGAGATCTGGCGGAGGCGGAGGGAGGGCTGCGCGGCTGGAGGACTGCTTAATGAGATGGAGGAAGCGCCCGGAAACCATTTTGCGGAGCGCCATGATTTGTTCACTTGTGCTGGAAGAGTTTCTTGTTCAATTGGTTTTTTGGAGCCCTTCTTTCTCCTCCTCCTCCTTTTAAAGTTCCGAGAGGCAAGGAGGTTTGAGTGGGAGCTCAAATTGCTTTGGGATCGCTGTTGATAATAAGACGTAATGGGCTATTTATGGCGCCACGAACCGACTATGGGAATATGAGGCGGATTGGAGCCCGTGCGATGCTTCTCAGAATTAGGGCTCCTGTTCCGTTTAAATTCTTGTTGTGCCAGTTGTTAGGGTTGTTTGCTAATAAAGAGTCATTTTGAGCTCTATTCGTAGGATGTTAAGAATTTGGACGAGATTTAAATCTTATTATTTATATTTAAAACATCATTTAAATATAATTTAATATATTTTTATTTTTTTTGTAATAATTTTAATTGATTATGTCTTTGTAGCCCTGTAGTAAATTAATTTTTTTAAAAATACTCTTCATCAATTATAATTTAATTGTTTCGAATCAAAACAAGTCAAACACGAACAAATAAATCTTTATTCATGTTTGACTCATTTATATATCGAGTACAAAAAAATTATTTGTGTTCGACTCTTTAACTTAACGAATGAATCCAACATGAGCTTCTTAACAAGCAGAACACGAACTGTTCGTGAAGAGTAATCCGTTTTGACAACCCTACTCAGAAATGTGACACAATGTGTGTGAGAGAGAAATATATTCTATTTTTCATATCGATCATTGCAAAAAATTCTATCAACGTACATAAAAAATATGTGAGCGTGAATCTTAAAGAGATCTGACGACTAACAAATGAGATGATGGGACACTATGAGGCCTGTTGGGAATAATCCAAAAACTCATGTCTAGTCGGTTGACATCTACAGATCGGGAGGAATACAATTTCAAGATTAACATAATTCGACCACCCTCCTAAAGTTCATCGGTACAAGACTCACATAGAAAAAATTAACAACATTTCTCCAACCAGACCAGGATATAGACAATTACCTCGAGATTCCAACGTATAGCCACCCAACCCATTAATGTCTGGCAGGAACCGTCAAGGGCTTCTTGATCTATCCGATCAGAAGTCATGTTAGGCTCCTGTCGGCACTATTTTTGGTGTGGAGTTTGCCCGTAAGAAGCTGTCGGTCATCGGAATTGAAATCCCGTTGCCCGCTTCGGAAGGACGTTAAAAAAAATTTAGTTTTGAAAAAGATGAAGTCAAACTGACCCCATAATTTTCATAGTTTAAATGGAAGAGCACTTTACCTCAAATTCTGTATCTATCCCAATGGATGAATACAAGAATTGAGGGTGAGGCTCGATCAAATAAACTAGAGAAAGTCATGACATCCGTTTGATCTGCGGAACCAATATATTGGCCGACAAATTCCCCTATTGAATATAAGGAATTAAATAGGGTTTATATT